AGCTAGTGCATAAAAATAGTAGGTAGCCATGGCGACATAAACAATGGGAGAGGCTAACTGCCCCAACTACTAACCTGTCCGAGAGACTAGTTATGTACTTGGGGTAGCTAGCCCCCACTACCACTCACACTGCCATAACTAACCTCTATTTTTAGCATGTTAGCTTGATCAGCTGGAATTTACACCTTCAGCTCTAAGTGTAGACATACCCTAGATGAGTTTCAAAATTGATTTAGTTAAATCAGTGTAACGTGTGTAGACAATGCCTATTTCAAACCATTTTTTCACTCAAGGGGGTTCACATCTTTTTCTTCTATCTCCTCTAGCTTCCATGGCTCCTTCTCCCCTCAACCTCCAAAAAGATTTTTCAGAAGCAAGGGCTAAATCTTTGTTTCCTGCCAATATCTCTGATCCAAACTTCTGTGCACAATAAAGGCATGGTTCACACAGAAAGTTCACATCTGAGGATTCAAGAGGCCTGGATAGTTTGGAGAATATACAGAACCAAATCTGACTTTTTTTGAGGTGCTCTCACCTCCAGTGGCTTTATAACGGTCCTTTCCTATTACATGTTTTATACCATAGCTTTCAGAGCTCTTGTGACAGGTATATGCAGTATATTGGAAGAGAAGAAACTGAATCTGTTCTCCATCAGTAGTGACATGGAACTAGCAACTGACTGGCTGTTTACAGGCTCCTGGTGGGAAGTATTAATTTCCAGTATTTTTCCCACTGGCAGCAATGTTAGGTGCCTAGATAATCGATGACTAGTTATGACTCCATACTTAGGACGTGATCATCTTGTCATATCCTAATTAGCTGGATCAGCTTGCCTCCTCATTGAGATCCCAGACTGAAAGCATTCTTCCTTTGCCCAGAAAGAGGTCCCCCCTCACTCCCCCTTTCTATTCCACTTCACCCTGGGAAGCATTTTGGGATACTTTGTATCTCTTGTAAACCATATTCTTCTATTTGGGTGTTCTTTCAACTTCATGAAAGTTACACGTTGTTTTCATTTCTTCTCAAGTACCTCAGGTCAAAGAAAGACCAATGTCAGTGGCTTTAAAAGCCTAATAAAGCCTCTCATCCATAGACCTGCTTGCTGGCATGAAGTCAGGGAAAACAAACTAAGTCATCGAGTGTTGTTCAAACTGTCAGATCCTTTTCAGCATGCTCTTCCTGACAGCCTGCTAGTGCGTGTTTGTGGGAGGGGGAAAGGAGAAAAAAAAATCCTCATGGCATAAAGCCTAGGGAACATTGGCATCTTTCCAGGGCAGCCTTCTTTCCCCACCCTTCATGGGCACAGGCGTCTGGCAATCTGTTCCACACGCATCCCCTCCCCGCACAGCACAAGCAAGGGAGGCTATGCCAAGGCCAACTAAATGACTTTCCAACAACTTTGCTCACAAGTGCCACTCCGCTCAAAGTTTGGCATCTCGTACTGTCTCCTCGTGACCCTCCCTTCTCCTCCCCTTCCCTGCCTCCCAATGAGCTGGACAGGTTCCAGTGTTTAAAAGCCCATTTACCACTCCCCTTTGTTTAGAAATGCTAAGCCTTGATCTGATTTTATCGACTCCGCTGGCTAAAAAGGAGGACGATGCTGAGGGTTTCAGAGAATCCATCAGTGAGCTGAAAAGCTTCAGGAGCCCTTCAGGTTTGTACCCTTTACAACAGACTTGTTCCATTGAGAAATACAGAAAGAGGAGGTGCACTGTTCCCTAGACCACACAGGGCTTATTTTCATTTACTTCCCCTCTCACTTTTGTGTTTCTCCTTTTAACTTTATTATCTGCACGTTTAGGAGCTGAAGGTCCGTGCCATCATCAGATTCTTTCCCCAGGCTAGATGAATGCTAACACAGTAACTCAGTCTACAGTTCTATACCACCACCACCAGGAGCAGCAGAGAGACAGGGTACTAAGAAATGAAAAGGTTGCAATACCCCTATCAGAAAATATTATCATCCCATTGACCATGGTGATTTTATTAGGTATTATTATGTGCAGAGAGAGATGACAAAAATGAGTTTGCATGAAACATATCCTTTACAAATATTTTCCTTTTTTCTTAAAGCAGTTAAAGTCAATGGGGCTGGATTTACAGCTAATCAATTCTTTTTTAGAATGCAGAATTTGGATGCCCTGTTAAGTCCTTTGTGTTTAAAAATTTGGCTTATCTACTTTTTTTGTCCCCCTGATATGCCAGATATGACCTTGCCATTCTTGTCATCTGGGACAAAACTGCTGCTATTCATGCTAGAGAGGGCTAAAAGGATCATATGTTGTAGAGAATGACTTTTAGGGTAACGGGAAGGATTTGTAAAGGCCCACGCCTCATGTTACTTCCTTAGGGCAGGTTTGAAAAGATAGCATCAGATTCTCAACTAAAACAACTTAAAACCAGCTGAGGACCTGCCCCATAGTGTTAATAGACAGTATAGAGAAAATGCCCACCCAAACCATCATGTTCCAAACCTTTCTTATCTGTCACTCTCTCTCTTTACTTTTCACTTCCCACGGAAAAGAAAATGTAAAGAAAGTAAAGATGAACCACCAGCTTTGGTCAACAGAAGGAGCAGCGTATGAGATTTCATGCAAAGGCTGAATTTTAGTAGGATTGGGGAGGTAGAGCCCCAGAACGATGTCACTAAAAACAAATTTAGCAAAATGATGTACACAGGCAACATGGGAGCTGTTTTGTTTGCTCCTAACAATTGGATAATTTTGACATCCTGCAACTTTATGTAGGATAATAGATGATTGTGTACTAGTGTTGAAGATCATGTTAGCACTAGCAGGTTATTCTGGTCATGCTAAACAACAAATACAGTGGATTGAGAGAGTCCCCTTTCCTGCTGCATGATTTTAAGAGTCTACAAGCTATACAGACAGTCTGATGATGGTATGCACATTGCATGTCTTGTGAAATGCTTTATAGTACGAGAAACCCAGCCTTCCTAAAAATTATCGTTGACTCATTCCTGTTTACGAACATTGAGAAACTGATAGATTCAGCCTGCAGCTATGTGAAAATCTCTTTGCCAAGCCATGCAGAACTTACTTTTGTGTCTGCAGTGTATTGGCATTGTATTACCATGACAAAACCAAACTCCCACCATTGATGGTAGCCTTTCCTAATACAACAGTCCCTCTATAGTAATATACTAGTGTACACAAATGATAACACAATGAAATGGATGTGTAAACACCATAGGATCTCTGTGGCAGTGGTGCACAGGTTTTCAGTTGCATTCTTGTCTTACCAGAGTTGTTAGCTGTTCAAGCATTAGTATAACGTTCAGTGATGCAAAGCATGCCTAATATCATTGCAACGCTATTGTTAATGTACTGCTCCAACAATTGTTATGGGGAAAGGCATGCTGGCCTCAGTTGTTGTTGCTAAACATTTCTGCAGGCTCTGTTCATCAAGAGCATAGTGCCATCCATAACATCACTGAAATCATAGGCCTTCTAATGTAACATTTGAAACCGATTCATTACCAATGTGATTAATGCTGAAGCCACCCAAAACTAATTCAAGTTGCACCATGTTTCAGAGGCAAAGAGGGAAGTTTGCACTAACCAGTACACTACAAACAGAGATGGATGGGCATTAGATTATCCAAGATCCATGGATATTAGAAGCTGGGAACAGATGCGAACTGCAATTTTATATAATTTGCACAGATACTCTCTAGAAGGCACTACTGCCAAGAATAGCATTGCAATATGAGCAAGACAGTGTTTCTCAGATGTATCCTCTTTGGGAGGTCATCATTCCAGGGCTAATTTAAAAAGAATGCGGTGCTTTCGTGAGTAGGTCAAGGCATGGATCTCAGACACTTTGGCCATGGGCTAAGAGACTCTTTGTGGAGTTCTATCCCTTACTCTGTCCTTTACTAGTCTTGTGAAAAGGAGGAGAGGAAGGTCTATTTATCTAATAAGTCATAAGAACGGCCCTACCGGGTCAGACCAAAGGTCCATCTAACCCAGTATCCTGTCTTCCGACAGTGGCCAATGCCAGGTGCCCCAGAGGGAATGAATAGAACAGGTAATCATCAATGAATAGGTAATCATCAAGTGATCCATCCCCTGTCGCCCATTCCCAGCTTCTGGGAAACAAAGGCTAGGGACACCATTCCTGCCCATCCTGGCTAATAGCCATTGATGGACATATCCTCCATGAATTTATCTAGTTATTTTTGGAACCCTATTGTAGTCTTGGCACAACGGTCATACAAATAACAACAAAAATACAAGGTTGTGTACAAAGATACTGCTAAACATATAATATCTGCACACTTGCCTGCCAAGTTACTCCACAACCAGGATCTAACTCATTGCTCTGTAAAGTGATTTGGAATATAACCAGAGTATTAAAAGGCACTCAAGAAGATAACCATCTAACAAAATGTTACGTTTTATTGTAAAATAATAATAATAATAGTGTGGTGTAACCAGTATAATGATTTGATGGTGGCTCTTCACCAAAGTTTGAAGAAGTTCCTGCTCTTTTCCAGCAAAGAAATTCATTTAGTGTGCCCATAAAAAGTTTCCTGAAGGCATGAAGTGGTAAACCTGAACATTCATCACCAGTGGATCAGCAGTGGCAGATGGGAAGGCAGCAAAGGTAGGCTGCATTGAGCTTACTGTGTCTTTAAGTCACTGATGGATTCACGCATGATGCAGCTAGACACAACACAGCACTTACATCTTGCTGCATCAGTGGTTCTCTAAGCAGAGATCTTCCTCTCTTCCTCTTCCCCCTCCTGGGCCCAAAAGTACTTTTGTCAATAACTGGATACAGTGGCATTCTGCCCACAAGCCCAGCTAATCAAAATGTCCAGTTTTTGTTTCAAGGGGCCTTCGTGGCAGAAATAAATATAATTTTTGTTTGGTGGGTTTTGCTTTTTCATTGTTTTGTTTTGCAAAGTCATAGTTTTGCAGATTAAGCTCTACAGACTATAGTCTGCTCCATTTTATGAAATTTTAAGTCAGCTATGAAACAGAAGGCTTGATTGTGGTTAAACAAATATTAAAATGCCATTCTTTTCTAAATGAATAAATGTGATAGGAACAGAATAGCAAAGTCTCTCCTGATGAGCAACCATAAAATACAAAATCCTCAAATAACCCCCACGCTCGGCCGAATGAGCAAACAGCAACACAGAATGCCTTCCCTTTGCCTCCTTGCTTAAGGCATCGTATGGCTGACCGAACGGATAATGTGACGGGTGCATCCATTCCTCATTCCCAGCCTGAACTCCGGTGGCTAATTGTCATCAACATCATCACTGCCACGACTACAACAGCAGCGACCTGCCCAACCTTGGGCATCGTGGGTGGCGTCATGTCATTCACGGCCCCACTGGTTCGGTGTAAAAATCAGAACGTACAACAGCCTTCTGCTGAGCCACGTGGGTGCTGCTTTATGGAAGGTACATTGCATGTTTGTATGACACTACCGAGGTGCCAGTAGGTGATGGGGATGTGGCTACAGCGTTCCCTAGCCCTTCGAGGGAAGACTGCCTCATTTCTGGGTTTGATGACCTTGCTCTTGTGGCGTGTTTTGAATCTCGGTAGCTGGTTGTAGAGGTAGTTTCAGAAATCATCTATTTCGCCCCTCCCCAGTTTGGCCCTTTTCATTTGTTTGCATGATTTGGGGGATAGTCTTCTCTCTCCTGACTTCCCCTACGTTTTCCTCCTCTCTGTCTCGTAACTTCAGCCAGGGATAAAAAAAGACAGGAGAACAAAAAAATAGCCTTCATGCATCTATTTCTAAGCACAACTGACCACATTTAAAAAAGGTATTTTTGTCATCTTTCAGTGCAGAACTATTTACAGTTGTTTTGTTTTTCCTTCTTATCCTCCCATGACTCCCTGGCACCCTCAGATCCTCCTGCCTAGGTGCATGAATGCTCTCAATCACACAGGTAAGATTCAGATGGAGTCCTTGCAATGTATCCTTCCAGCCAAATCTACCCCTTGACCTCCAGCTCCCTGTATGCACTACTTTCAGCTTTGCTGGAGGTACAAGCCATGAAATGGCACCAAGCAATGGTTCTAAGCAACCTTTGCGTGAAAGTAGTAGGAATGCCGGCTTGGCCTCTCTACCTTAAGTAACAGTATTTGAGTAGGAGAATATTTCCATAGTTTTATGTCTTGAGAGGGGAAAAAAGACACATATTAGTGCAAATGCTGACTCCATTGCGCAGCAAATACAGTGCTGGAGTATTCCAAGTCTAGAGCTTGTTTAAGGCACACAATGTCTCCGAAAGCTTACTTGTCTCCTCTCCATCACGGGCCACAGTGACTGTTTCACAGAAGTTTTGGTATCCAGCAACAAATCTGTAAGAACAAACCAAAATAGGAAATTACATTAAATTCACTACTTTAAAAAAAATCACACTCATTTCTATAAATGCTTAGATTGTTTGGTTTGTTTTTTTTAGTGGCATGCTGTAAGCTTTCTAATGTAGCTGCTCGAAGCTAGTGGGAGAGAGCCTGTTGGCTTAACTACTCCAGCCCCCATGAGTGGCAGTGGGAGAAGCTCTCCTGCCAACATAGCGCTGTCATCGCCAGCGCTTATATCGGTGTAACTTATATCACTGGGGCAGGGGAGGGGGAGTTTATTCGCTCTCCTGAGCAACAGAAATGATGCTGACAAACTGTAGTGTAGACATAGCCTTTGTTAGTTGTTTGCCTTGTTCAGTTTATCATTCAAATCACAAGGTATGTTTTATATTCCCTGATTGGATGATTGAAACAATAACACATTTCCTCTAACAGATAAATAACACTTCCAATCACAATAACATTTGTGACATTTTCACAATTCATGACCATTACAGCAAAATACTCAACTGTTGGCCAAATGCTTCTGAAGAACGAACAGTTGGATCATGAACGAACAGTTGGATCATGTGAACTAAACTTGGTGGTTTCCTTTGTGAGCATATTCACAAATCACAATTCTTATTCTTCAGCCAGCTCTTTTTGGCACTGTACTGATTTAAAAGACAGAAGGTCCAACCCTCCGTTGCTCTTCACCTTGTGTTGTCATTTATACGAGCACAAAGGGTGAAAAATGTTACTGGTACAGAATGACTACACAAGCAACAGGGCCATGGAAACTCAACTTCAGAGGATAGTAACATTATCCTCAGGATTGATATTTGACAAGATAAACCCAATTCAAAATGAATTGATCCTTTCTGCTGAACAGACCCCCTCCAGTTTTCAAAGTGTACTCAGATGGAAGTGGACGGTTCCTATTCACAAATGTTATCAACCAAACATGATCACAAGAACAAGTAATTCACACAATTTTTTTCCGGATGCAATTCCATGTGTTGGAACCTGGATGTCAGAAAGCTGGCTTTGCCATGGTTCTTGAGGTCAATTGGAGCATTTGAGACAAACATCCTTAGATTTAAACATCATTGGCAGGGCATTCTCCCAGAAAGCATCTAGAATTCGTTCTTGTACCTGATCTGACAGTGTGACCTTCGGAGCATAGAGACAGACTCCTCTCTTCTCTCAGGTTTCCCCGTGTAGTAACACAGTGGGTGGAACAGAGGGTGCTTGTCAGTTTGGGGGTGGGAGGAATTAGTTCCTTTCTCTTTCTCCTTTGAACGCAGGTAGATTTTGTCTGTGCTTTTAATAAATCATGTGCATACACCCTGAGCTGGGAATGCCACTTTTATCATTCATGATAATAATTATAACTATTTAAATACTCTTAGTAAGCAGAGGGCAGTGATCAAGCCCAGTTCCTCTATAAGTTTCTGAACTAATCTTGGACTTGTAACAACTAAAGGCCCATAAGAAAGGGGGAAAACACTAAAAAAAGAGTAATGCTTTTTGAAAGCCCCTACTGCTTGATCCTCTGAAAGATGCTATTTGGGTTCTTATACAGCTCCCATCATCATGCTATGTCAGTGCCTCACAATGTACATTTTACACACACACACACACGCACCCCCTTCAGTCCAAAGGGACTGGACTATTTTTGTGTTTCTTTCTGCAGCCCCCAACTCCCATTGAAGTCAGCACTACACAGGGTGAGGCCCTTCATTTGTAAAAGGGATTAGGGTTACTTAAAAGGCTTTGAAAGTCATCATAACCAGTTAAGGACTCCTGCAGCCCTGAAATGTCTGCGTGAGGCTTCAAGTGGGTATTAGAGAATAGAACTGGGCCTGAACCACAACTCTGGATCCTACCATCTCTGGACCACAAGAGGGTGTTTTAAATCAGAACTACGATCTGGGTCTGAGTTTTACAAATAGCCCTTGTCTCTATAATGGTCTGAGCCAAAACCCTGGATCGGTACACACCCTTCACTGCCTTTTCAGTGTTCGAAATCTGGATGGGGGTAAGAGTTTGGCTAATTGAGCCCATCTCTCTTAGGACTCTCACCCTATTTGCAAGTAGGGAAAAGCAGCAATGACTCTGAGGTCTAGAGGCCCGACTCACCACTGTGTTATTCCAGTTTCACATCTGTGTAACTCCATTGATTTGTCATGTAGCTCATTTCCAGAACCTCCTCCTTTATGCAGATAGGAATTAAGTTCCTCCACCGAATCAGGCCCTGTATTTCTTAAAGCAGTTGATCCCCATTGGGGATTATGCAGATGGAGGTACATTCTTCTCCCTATTGGATGAGGTTCTGGAAAGGAGCCACATAGCTTGAGAACTGGTGTAGTTTTACACTTATTTTAAAAAGTTTTTAAAAAAACGTAAACACCTGATTCTACTGGAAGAAGATCAGGCACTCGCCATAGTAGCCAGAGTTACACAGGAGAAGACAGGAGTGCTTTCCTCTCATTCAATCTCTCTCTCAGACATATATATCTATAATAGCACACACACACACATACACACACACACAAAGGCATTTTATCTACACTAAGCCTATGGATTACTGGCTTGCCCTTTGCAAAAAAAAAAAGAAAAAAATGTTGCTAGGCAACCAGGCAGGGGTTGCTATGGCATTTTCAAGTAGAGCAGCTGGGCCAATCAGAGCTAACTGCAAGCTAGTGAAGGCGTAAAGCCTCTAAATTTAATGTCAGTGCAGACAGGAAGGGAAGCTGTTGAGGCATGCATGATGCTGAGCGTGCGCTTACTAAATGCGGACAACATGGCCCCCATGATTAGGACCAGCACACTAATGAATATTCATTGGGCTGATTAAAGCAAAGTCAATTAACTACTTGACTGCTTGATTTTTTTTTTTTTTTACTGGATTTTATTCTTCTCTTTTAACCATTTTGCCACAGGGGCTGCTCTTGTTCTCTCCTCCGCCTCCCTCTGTCCTTCTCAGAATCTTCTTATGCTGGTGATTGCATGTGGGTTTTTTTTTTCCTTTATGTTTTTTACTGACAATAATACATCCTATTCCAGGTTTTATGGCTTACTTTATTTCACCAGTAAATGACCTTCTTCTAGGGTCACTGTCTTCCACTACAGTTGTAGGTAAACTAGAAGGTCACATTTTTCCATCAAGTTTTTAAAACATGCCACAAGATTTAATTCCAAATACATAGCTAAGCAATAATACTGATTTTAAGCAACACAGTGGGACCCCCCACACCATTCCTAGTGTAATAGCACTGAGGATTCTGCTGTGATGGAAGTCAAGGGATAGAGAATTTTTATTTTGTTGTTTAAACAGGGTCCAGACTATATGGACTTCCAAAAATGAGTCTTGTGGTAAATCGAATGCGATTTTAAAATAATGTTCAAGAACAATGATTCATTAAAAAGCTTTTTCAGTTTTGAGAGGTGCCGTTCCCTACCCATGTACTGGTGATGTAGTATGATTATGAAGAGGACTGCATATCTGATAATTATCATTTTTCAAAATGTGCCTGCACACTCTAAAATATTCTATTAAATTAAAATTAAATACAACAACATTATTGGCCAGAAATCAAACTGTGTGAATTCAGCAACCTCAAAGCACCATTCCCTTCAAAAATCTGGGACAAGACGTTCTCTTACATTGCCTTTCCACTCCCTGATTTATTTTGAAAACTCTCTCTCTGATTCTTTGTATTATATACACAACCATTTCACAGAAAGATGTGTCTACAGGACACACAGCTATGAATCTCTTTCTGTATTGAGGGATATTAATAGCTGCAATTAATACCTCTGATGGGTAGTGGTGAAAACCTGAACGTAGTCCCCTAGCATTTGGACTTTTGTCTTTGTCAGTTACTGAATTGAAAAGGTTCAGAAATAGCTGGGCTTTAGAGTACAGTAGGGGTTTCTAGGTGATGTCGACTGATCCAGCAACATGTGCATGTATGTAAATTTCAGGTACATAAAAAAAATGTTTACTTCCTTTCTCTGTTCCTTCCCCTTCAGAATAAAAAAGTCACCATTCAGATTCAAGCATGGCAATCCAGATTTACACAGGTTAGAGTGGTGAAGGGAAAAGGAAAATTTAAACCAGATCAATTTTAAAATTAAGTAGCAGGTGGAGGGAGTGGGGAAAGAAATAGGTTTCAGAGTAACAGCCGTGTTAGTCTGTATTCGCAAAAAGTATGCATCCGATGAAGTGAGCTGTAGCTCACGAAAGCTCATGCTCAAATAAATTGGTTAGTCTCTAAGGTGCCACAAGTACTTCTTTTCTTTTTGGGAAAGAAATAGTGAAGCTTAGCTGAACGAGAGAGTCCCCCCCCAATGCACAAAGGTTGCATTATTGTTCAACTGCATGTTAAAAATGAATAACCAATTTTCCTTGTTTAAAGAAAAAAATCCGGGGTCACATACATCTTTATATCATTTTACTGGATGATACACGTTCCATAGATGTGCACACACACACACGGGATGGCTATGAAAAAAATAAAAATAAAAAATAAAGAAAAGGAATTAACTTGGCATTTTTGTTTTGCTATGGAAGTTGTACTCTATGAATACGACAGCCATTCCCTCAGCAAACATATGGTATATTTCAACGTTCTATTAACAACGTAGTTCCAACTTTTTCATCTATTTTACTGCTACCAAATATTTAACACCTGGCACGAATCTATAAATTACTTAAGGGTTCAACAGTCCATGGATGATGTTGCAGAAAGCATCAAATCATCAGGGTGCTGTTTCTAGCACACTTGAGTATGAGTTCGTATTTCCATCGTACTGCCCTATTTGGAGAGGTTTGCATTTCAGTCATCAAAATCGGACCCGTGGTATACAAACTCTCAGCTCAACGGGGCACTTGTATTTATTTAGCAAAATATGAAGAGAAACAACAATTCAGCCATTTGTAAATGGAAGGATGGCAAAAGAAATGGAAGGGGGTAGTCTGTGCTGTCTCCTTCTTGTCTTAGAGCTAACAAAATATGCGTCTGGGTGTTTTTTTAAATCTGAATTTTTCATTCATGTGAAATAATGCCTCTCTGTAGTTTAACAGGAGGAAAAACCCCACAAATGCTATAGAACCACTTCATTCTTTAAAAAGAGAGAGAGAGTCCATCGAGGGAACAGAGTTCAAATTCTAATTAGGTCACAACTGAAATGTAGTTGGTGGTGTCATTGATGTTTGCCTACGATAAAATATAAGACAGTGCATTACAACTCTTCAATCTTTGCAGTCTCTGGTCAGGAGAGGACATAGCACTAGCAAGCTGGGGTGTTTCAGGTCAGGATTAAGACGCATTAACAAATTCATGTGGCAGAAGCTTGCTCAGCACCTGCCTATGATTTGCCAATTTTATCCCTCAGTTCCATGTGCATCAACTTCTGTTTTCCATTTAGTGAGAGAAGGGGTATCCGAGATGCTCCAATTTTGGGTCATTGACATGTTCAGAATGCATTAGCTCCGAAATTTCCCTTTTAGGCACGGCACCTGCACTAAGCC